ACAGCCCCTGTATTCCTTCTTCAGCTTTTGGCTACCAACGGGGAGGTAGAAGGTCCCTCCCCTTTTCCTGTTGCCCCTCATGTCCTTTGCAGGTCTCGACTCCCATTATTTTTGGCTTTTCTAACAGCATCCTTAAATGTTCCTGAATTCCTGCTTTGCAGCCTCCCCGTTTCCATCTCCTATGCGATACTTCTTTGCCTGAGTTCTGTCACGACTTACTCCAGCCCATCTCCCACCCCCTCCCTGCCCTCTTGGCTGGCCCTTTGGCCAGTTCTTAGTCCCACTTGGTGTCTGCTCCTGCGGCTCAAACCCCAGCAGCTGCTCTGTGAGGCTGGATGGGACGGAGCTGCCAGCCCTCGGGAGGGCCTCGCTGTATCCCCTGCGCTCCCACCTGCCGGGCGTTGGGCTGGCGCCGTGCCGTGCCTGCGGTCAGGGTGCTGAGAGCCACCGTACCAACCCTTCCGTGGGAAAGCACGCGGCATCACGCCGCAGCCGAGCTCTGGCACCAGTCCCCATGGGGGTGGGGCAGCTGAGCAGTTTGTTCTCTAACGATTTCCCATCTCATTTTATCCACATGAAACTGGAAACGTTTTGCTACAACAGTTCACTCCCCTGCTCTGTAAAAATGTTTCCTCAGGCCTGCAGCTCTGCCAGCTGTCCTCTGCTTTCCTTGTTCTCTTCTGGACGGTGCTTGGAAGCCCTCGTTGTTCTGCCGTTGGCTTCTCAAAACCCCAACGCGTTACCCAGTGACAGCGTTCCATACCTCCCCACGTCATGGTCGCTGACAGCCGTGGGCTCAGTTCTCTAAAGCTCCTGGAAGAAATCCTGTTACTCTCCAGACTGGAGCTGTAGTTGCCAAAGGCCATGTGTGTGTGTTTGGATGTTTCAGAAATACCACCCCTGTGCGCTGTTCTCCGGGAGCCTCAGCAGACAGCCGGGATGGTCACGGACAGCGTGGAGCAGGTAATGGTTAAGCAACCGGAGTACAAGTGAAGTGGGTCAAGGGCTGCCCTTACAGCAGCTGAGCCGTAAGGCCCTTGTTAACAATCCTCTTTGGAAGGTCATTATTAACTGGATTAACAAGGAGACACAGTCCAGGTACTGCTGTGCTGTGTTCTTGGGCCGCATTCCCCTTGCAGGCTGTGGGAAACTCTTGTATCCTTCGTCCACCCGATCCATATCCGTGCTGTGTTCTGCATCGTGTTAGCTCTTCCGCAGAACCAGAGGCTGGACTCGGGCAAGTCTGGGGAATTAACATTCCGAAGGCTCACCTGTCATTACCGACTGCCTCCCCACCAGGCACTGTCCCTTCCCCCTACCCTGTTGTGGGTCTGGCAGACGGATGGAGGAAGCAGAGTGCTCCTCAAGTGGCAGACAGGCAGACTCTGTCCTTGCGTCCTTCCCCCGCGGGTACCGCTGCAGGGAGGGTGCTGGGGAGCAGGGTGCTGGGGTGGGTACCTGCTGCGCTGCATGACGCCCAGGCAGCAGGGTGAGGGCAACTGTGTCCGTGCTGAGGGTCGGCCGCTGCAGTGTTGGCTGGCAGGTCCTTCCTGCGCTGGAGCAGGAGCCGTGTGCTGACAAACGCGTGACTTGTCACCCCTCTGCCTGGGGCCTCAGCGAAGGCTTTGGAGGCACCGTTGAAGTGGTGGAGGTGGAGGAGGAAGCATCTCGAGGGGAGAGGGAAGTTACTAGACCTGGTGCGTTCATGGGTGCCCCAGCCTGCACGGGTCTTAGTCTCTTGCTTAACGGCAAAACCAATCCACCTTTGCCAACCTTTGTTTTCACCGGGCGCCAGAGCGGCGTCTCGGGTTGGGGCTGGCAATTTTCACGGGCAGGGATGGTTTTGTTCTAACACGAAGGTTGCGGCTCAAAACTAAGTGGTTTTTCTTCAACCGATAGGAGCGGAATGTTGGAGCTGAGGTGGAATCGCAGGACTTGCTGACCCTTGAAGCTCCGGCCCCTTCCGCAGGCTGCTCCTCCACCTCTGCAGGTGAGAGCACAGAATCCGATGGGTGACAAGAAAATTGTGGATGTTTTAAGTTCAGGGACATGTGTAAGGTGGTTTGGAAAGAGGCATTTTGAGGTCAGACTCTACAGATGGACACGAGGTAGAGGAGAACGTTCCGATGTGGGATGGTCAGATATGGCGGAAGAGCAGTGGTTCCTAAGATGGGAAAGGGAGAAGGGTGTAAGGGGAGTTGTTTGCAGGGGCAAAGGCTGATGCGTAGCACACAGAAGAGGATTAGGGCAAGATGAAGAATTGCCTTTCCCTCTGCAAGCTGCTAAATTTATTTTGTCTGGAATGACCACCACCAGCCCAGCCCCCGAGTTACTAAACAACAAAAACCACACCAAAGAAACCAACCAAAAAAACCCCCCAACCCGCCCTGTCACGTAGGCATGTGTCTCTCGGCCGCCTCCTCGTTGCTGGCAGGGGTTG